TCACTCAACTAGATTTTTCAAATTTTAGATTGCCAAATACCTATTTTACCCTCTAAATTATAAATATTTATATTCTTTTATTTTTTTTAAAACTTTTTAATATTATAATTTTCCCTAATATAAACTTACCTATAGAATAAATAAATATTATTTATAAATTAAAAAAATAAAAAGTATTTAAGCATTTATAATGCTGGAATAACAAAATAATGAACATAGTAATTAAAGTATTAATTAGAATAATTTGTTTGTAATAATAATTTTAGTATTAACAATATAAATTCCAAAATTTATTTACACAATTCAGAATGAAAGAAAATAAAGGTTGTAAAATATACATTCCATGCACGTAATATAAAACTAAATATTTAGATAAAAATATTTTTATAATATATATTATATATTCTTAAAAATTATGCTTAATTATTTATATATATTCTATGCACGACTTAACACAACATATTTTACCCTACACAGATAGTCCCCCTACTTTTCGGTGACATAATTTGTGTCGTCGGAAAATTGGTAGAAACATAATAATATAATTGAGCATAATTTTGAAGAACATATAATATATTATAAAAATACTTTTATTTAAATAATTATTTTTATATTACGTGCATGGAATATATTTTACAACCTTTATTTTCTTTCATTCTGAATTGTGTAAATAAATTTTTGAATTTTATTGTTAATACTAAAATTATTTTTACTAACAAATTATTCTCATTAATTGTTTTTACTATGCTCATTATTTTGTTATTCCAGCATAATATATGCTTAAATATTTTTTTAATTTATAAATAATATTTATTTATTCTATAAATAAGTCCATAATATAAATTAAAAAGGAAAAATTATAATATTAAAAAGTTTTAAAAAAATAAAAGAAGATAAATATTTATAATGTAGAGGATAAAATAGGTATTTGGCAATCCAAAATTTGGAAAATATAGTTGAATGACTTCTGAGCGCAATAGACATAGTTTAGTGACTTTGTTGTTACAAATGAAAGTAAAGTAACTTTAGGGGATAATTTGGGATAGATGAGGGACCATTTGAGCAATGTACTCCTTATAAATTACTACACGAAAAAAGAAACATCTGAACATGATAAAACTCATTAACCATCCTTAAATTGCTCAAATTAAAATATAAAAAATAAAAAAACGGTGTTAATGATCCTACTATTACCTTATCTCTCTTCTTAGCTTGTTATTGATCTCTTTCAATCTCTTCAAATTTTCTTGCATTCTCTGTACACATTGAACGAACAAAGGGATTTTGCAGGTATAATTACATGGTAAATCATTCCTCATATAGTAAATACTAGTAAGTCATTACGTTAAACCACATAATGGAAAAACTAGAGTTTAGGAAATTATTACCTCGTAGTGAGTGCTCCAAATATCAACCCCAAGTGTCCTCTGATATTGATCAATCATCTTTTTTTGCCTGATTAACACACAGAACAAGTTGGAAAGAAAGAAAGAAACAAAATATACTACGATTTTTTTTTAATTTAAAAATCTAACTTTTTTTTTTGTGTGTAAAAGACATACGTAGTGTTGGGGCTGGTGTATTCATGAAATTTCCTGGTGCTAGAGAGCATGAGGAGTGAGATCTTAGCATCACAAAGAACAGTAAGCTCTTTAGCTTTCTTGATAATACCATTTCTTCTCTTGGAGTAAGTGACTTGCCTGTTTGTTGAGTTCTCTATCTTCTTTATCTCAATCTTTCCACGACCCATGATC